TCCTACCTTATATAATTAGGTCGGCGTATCTTTGTCTGTGTGTGTGTCCGGCCGTCACCTTTGGAGGCCCGATTTGAGGGCCTTCCCGTGCATAAAAATGCCCCAATTCTCCGTCACCCGGGAATCGACCCTCCTCTTTCCGATGGCGCTTTTAGAATCCCGATAAAATACAAGTTAACAAAGTGAAAGCCGGTTTTATTGATTTTTGGGGTCCGGAGGGCTAATTTGCATAATGTGAAAAATACAAATTTCCTCTCTTGCCAGTTGCACTCGCGAGTTTGGTCGTCTCTTGGATCTGCCTCTCGATGCATTTCCTTCCTGCCCCGGCAAGTCCTCTTGAGGCATAAAACGGGTGTTTGGCGCGTGCTACCAAGCACTGCATAGTGTAGTGGTTAGCGCTTCGCCTTGCTAATCTAACCATCGGAGGTTCGATCCTCGGACATCTTAGTTGTTTTGCTTTTTGCTCGGAAAGCGCGTTTCGGAGTGGATTTCCGTGTAAGGACGTTATTATGAAGTTAGTCACTCAAGCCGCAGCCTATAGAATGAAGCTACCCGCCCAGGCATGCGCTGCAGGCCAAGGAATCAAGCTAACTGCTCAAGCTAGCGCCGCAGGCTTTATAACGAAGCCAGCCGCTCAAGGCGGCGCCGCAGGCTTTTAAACGAAGCCAGCCGCTCAAGCTTAGCGCCGCAGGCTTAGAACGAAGCCAGCCGCTGCTATAGCGCCGCAGGCTTTAGAACGAAGCCAGCCGCTCAGCTTAGCGCCGCAGGCTTAGAACGAAGCCAGCCGCTCAAGCCAGCGCCGCAGGCTTTAGAACGAAGCCAGCCGCTCGGCTTAGCGCCGCAGGTTTTGAACGAAGCCAGCCGCTCAAGCTTAGCGCCGCAGGCTTTGGAACGAAGCCAGCCGCTCGCTGCGCCGCAGGCTTCCAGAACGAAGCCAGCCGCTCAAGCCAGCGCCGCAGGCTTCAGAACAAGCCAGCCGCTCGCTAGCGCCGCAGGCTTTAGAACGAAGCCAGCCGCTCGCTTAGCGCCGCAGGCTTTAGAACGAAGCCAGCCGCTCGCCAGCGCCGCAGGCTTTCGAACGAAGCCAGCCGCTCGAGCCAGCCGCCGCAGGCTTTAGAACGAAGCCAGCCGCTCGCTTAGCGCCGCAGGCTTTAGAACGAAGCCAGCCGCTCAAGCTAGCGCCGCAGGCTTTAGAACGAAGCCAGCCGCTCAAGCTAGCGCCGCAGGCTTAGAACGAAGCCAGCCGCTCAAGCCAGCGCCGCAGGCTTCAGAACGAAGCCAGCCGCTCGCTTAGCGCCGCAGGCTTTAGAACGAAGCCAGCCGCTCGGCTTAGCGCCGCAGGCTTTAGAACGAAGCCAGCCGCTCGCCAGCGCCGCAGGCTCAGAACGAAGCCAACCGCTCGAGCTAGCGCCGCAGGCTTTAGAACGAAGCCAGCCGCTCGAGCTAGCGCCGCAGGCTTTAGAACGAAGCCAGCCGCTCGCTTAGCGCCGCAGGCTTCAGAACGAAGCCAACCGCTCGAGCTAGCGCCGCAGGCTTTAGAACGAAGCCAGCCGCTCAAGCTAGCGCCGCAGGCTTTAGAACGAAGCCAGCCGCTCAAGCTAGCGCCGCAGGCTTTAGAACGAAGCCAGCCGCTCGCTAGCGCCGCAGGCTTCAGAACGAAGCCAGCCGCTCAAGCTGTCGCCAAAGGCCAAAAAAGGAGGCTAATCCCTCAAGCTTGGGCCGCAGGATGAGGTAGCGACCTAGCCGATCAAACATGCGCCGCAGGCCTAATAACGAGACTAACAGTTCAATCTTGCGCCGCATGAGAATACAAAGAGCTTTGCATGGGAGATGGGTTTTTCTTTCTTCAGGATAACTGTCTGTGGAAGGGTGCTCGATTCATAAGGCCTAGACGGGGTCCAGCGGGGGAGAGTCGCGAAGCGGCTCCTCCCCCGCTGGTTTATTCATAATTATCCGGGTCTTTAGATTTATAATCTAAACTATAATTCTCAAATCTAAATTCATTTGTATTTTTGAGTCTTAGGGATCGCCAGCTGGAGCAGGAGCAGCAGCAGGGCAGGATGCAGTCGATCCAAACGTATAGATAAGGATGAAAAATGTCAGTGGCTGGGCTTAATCGTATTGACAATAAAGTAATAGATATGATCAATTTAAAGGACGCTTAAGCTCAGATGATCACGAACTAAAAGGTTCCTAACAAATTTTCTGGGATCTGGATTTTCGTAATCTCCAATCTTGAGCAGCTTGCCTGCGCGACTAAACGTGTAATTCCCCGAGGATTTTCAAATTGGCTCAGCTTATGTAAATTTCAAGATTTTGGAATTCGAATGATGGTTATAGCTAGGCTAAATTTCGAGGTGGCAGGATGACGCTTTCGTTGAAAAATCCAGCGAAACTCCCAAATCTCCCAAATTCCTGCAGGGTCTGCAATTTGTTTTCTCCCGCCATCATCTTACCACATCCGGATTATTTCGAAAACGTGTATTGCCGTCTGGACCGGGATGGACGTGGAGAGGGCGGGAGGTGGCTCTGGGCAATTTTTCCAGTGGCACCAAAAAAAGCAATAGGCGGAGCAGTGAGGGCGGGCGGGTCTATGAGAGAGTGTGTAAGGGCTAGAAAAGATACATCAGCGACCCAGAAGGGAAGGAGCTATCGCTTCTTTCGACCTCTCCACACCACATTTCCTGGTGCTCCGTGCGAACCCCCCACAAAGGCCAGCTGAACTGGTGTTTAGTCACGTTTCGCGTACTTTGAATACAGAGTAAGTGCGTACTCCAGACATGCGCATGCGAATTTTCAACGGTTAATTCTGTTCTGCTGTTATCCCCTGATGGCGCCGGCTATTCCATTGGAGACGTTCGCAAATTATTTGCGGAGCCTCACCACCACCGCCATGTTCTACCCGTACGTTTTGTAGAAATTCTCTAGACGTAGAAATTATTTTGGCATTTTAGCCCGATATTGGGACTCCCGACTTGGTTATGGAAGGCGTCGACGCACCATCCGCTGGCCCCTGTTGAGGCAAGGAATTATGGATGCTGGTGCACTTGCTGCACTTCAAAAGTGAGCAAGGAAGTTCGTGATTGATAAAAACTTTTCTTTCGCTCTTTTTTTCAAAGAATATGAAGTATATATAAGCGCTAATAGATGCAAATTATATATCGTGCCCGGTGGCAATTTCGGCGCGAACAAGAAACGAAACCTAAGCCCTTAAACGGCTGCTGGTAGTATTCACGAGTTATCTTTCGGCATCTGAACATTTCCAGTGCGGCTTCATTATTATGATAATACTGTGGAGCATCTACACCGTCTTTATGCTCACCGCCCTAACATTTGCGGTCCTCGCCATCCACCCTGCCGATTATGCAAATATCGTGACGAGGCTTGAGGTAAGTGTAACTTTTACTTACAGTGTTCCTGGATTATCAGGAAACTCCGCTCGTGGTTCGGTTATCTTGTGCAAAACTTGGGTTCTTTCCCAATATTGTTGTCAACTTTCGTACGAGCACGGTTTCAGCAGTATAGTGGTATTTTTCTCGAAACCGGCCGGAAATGGCTGGCTTCGGTTCTGCCTCTGAGTACCTCGTCCCAAGCACTTTCGCAAGGGTCACTCGTGAACCCTGGATGGTTGAACTAAAAAAAGTTTTTTCGGGACCACATGGCTTTTGAAATGCAGCCTTGGGAAATTTTTCAAAATGGCAAATTTTGAGCTATCGATTTGCGAGCTCCCACATGTGACAGAAAATACAGGGTGCGTCAAAAAAAAAGAGTGAAGTTTGCACCAACATATCTCGCTTATAGTAGAGAATCGAAGGTCCGTTACCATGCCAGAATGCTTAAATATGCTGGGTATGAAGATTTAACACAACTTGATTTTTTCGATTTTTGGCGACGTATCAATACAAATGACACCCGAAAACTGTGCGTTCCGGCAAAACTTCGTTTGCATTTTTTAGTCCTGCTGGTGGTCGAACAGTTCCAATTTTTACAGTGTAGGTACCTAAGGACTGCCCCCCGCACATCCGGATTATGCAATTTTTGAAGGTCAGGTTGGCAAGTTATAGCGTGCTAAAATTTAATATGGAGAAATTTCGTAAATTTCGATTATTACAAAACCTATGGTGGAAACCTCATAAAAGCTGTTTTAGCATGTCTATAGGCCTATACAATCCCGCAAAAATATCAAAACATTTTTTCAGATTCGCGGATTTTTGAGTTTTTCGACGACCCCTGGTCATGGATTCTTTCGAGGTCACGAAACTGAACTTTGGAAAAATATTTCTAAAATTGCAGCTAGAATTTCGGTGTTTGCTTTGCTTAGTTATGTAGGATTGGCGTCCATCTATCATGTAAACAATTTCTAGCTACCGTACCCCTTTGGAAGGTTGCTTTTTAGCGCCTCCAAAACGGTTGGTTCGTGCTATGTCGCAGACCTTGGTGTCAGTCTATAAAATTCATTTGCGCGGCTAAAATTACTGTCATAATTTTATTTGATGCTTCTTAACTGGCGCATTTAAGATTATATCTACAAATTTATTGGGCGATCCGATCTCTCAAAAGAAATTCATGAAAAGGCAAATATACCCGACTTTGAGGCGACGTAAAAATTCTCGAGGCTCTAGTAGCCTCGACTTTTTGGCATAAACTCAGCTTGGGTGGTCAACTAGAACCCATGCAAATACAAAACCTTTCCATGGCAAACGAATTTAGAGGAGCTCCCCAAAGTCGGCTTTTAAAAAAGGTTATTTTCGGGTTTTAAATCAAAATTAACCATTAACTTCAGCCAGGTCATTCCAGAATTCTGCTCTCATACACAGTACGATGTGTGCTTTGAATTGTATCCACCAAACCCTGGTGCCTTTTTCATTTTCAAAAATTCGATTTTCGGGCCAGGGTGTCGGGTCCAAAATCAGGGCCCGAGGAGGGTTTTCGACTTTCCCTTATAACTCTGTCATTTACCACAGATAACCAGTAATTTTTTGCCTGCGTTCTTATAATTACTCAGAGAACATTCTAGAATAGAAAAATTGGCATTTTATGGCATTTTGTCTTGGCATGCTAAAACGTGCTCCAGGCGGGTTACGGTAGAAAACAGTAAATAGTCGTTTTCTCGTTCTTTTCACCATAGAAACGTTTCGATCTTTCAGGAAAACAAATAATAGTAGTTTTCAGTCCGATGCATCAAAATATTTATAAATTTCCGTGGCTAATTTCAAAAATAAGTTTTTGCATATTTTGGGAAGATATATGGCTAGAACTCCACGATCTTTGGCCAATAGGTGACCCTTACTGATGTTTACCAATGGTAAAATTTAAGCGAAATCGCAGCTTACAATAAAAAGAAAAACGCGAAAAACAAAACTACAGTATCCCTCTGGGGCACGTTTGAGCAAGCAATATTAAAATACCATAGAATCAGGTAAAATTTGGTGTTGTGCTGAAGATTATCATTCGGCGACACCACTTGCAAAAAGATCAGCCAAGGGCAGCTTATTTGAAGCGAGTTGCGAATTAAAAGTAAAAATAAGCAAAATAGGGAAATTTGTTTGCTTGTAAAAAAGAACTAACCTTCAAAAATTCTAAGACTGCTATTATTTTTCTACAAATGTCAACTATTTATAGGCCAAAAATCAGAATTTTCCCACCACCCGTTCAAGAACGCACAATTTTCGGTCGTAACCAGCGTCAATAGTACAGTTGCGTACTCAAAAAATCGAAAATCAAGTTGTGTTAAATCTTCATACCCAGCATATTTAAGCATTCTGGCATGGTAACGTACCTTCGATTCTCTACTATAAGCGAGATATTTTGGTGCAAACTTCACTCTTTTTTTGACGCACCCTGTAT